AGGGGGGGTCTGGCCGGCCCGGCCCCAATCGGCGGATCAGGGCCAGGCCTGTCGGGAGGAGGAGATGCGGGGGAGGTTGGCCAGCCACTGATCAGGGCCAGGGTCACTGGGGGGAGGGGCCACGGGCGATTGGCCAGTGGGCCCCGCTCCCAATTGGGGGGGCGATTGGGAGCCAGCGGCCTGGGGGAGGGGCCATGGGTGGTTGGCCAGCCCACTCCCTATTGGGGTAGGGGGGTGCTCAGGGGCAGGGCCAGCCAGGGGGAGGGGCCCAGGGAGATTGGCCGCCGGCAGCCTCACCCCCAGATCGGGCCAGTTCGCGAGCAGCAATGGGCTTCATAGCGACTGGGGTGTTCCAGCTGCTGGCTTTATATATATATTGATTGATTTCAGAGAGGGAGAGGAAGAGAGAGAGAAACATCCATGATGAGAGAGAATCATGGATGGGCTGCCTCCTGCATGCCCGCTACTGGGGATCGAGCCTGCAATCCAGGCAGGTGCCCTGGACCGGGAATCAAACCCGGGACCTCCTGGTTCGTAGGTCGAAGCTCAAGCACTGAGGCCCGCCGGCCGGGCCACACAAGCCTTTTCATGCGGGACCTGTGTGTTTGGGAAGTGAAATATCGCACCATCGATATTTCACTTTCAAATACTGGGGAACAGGAGAGAGAGAGCGAGCGTGTGCGTATAACTCACGTGGACAAATATACACGTGGGAGGGTGGACATAAGACGCATTCAAACCTGTAAGAATTTCTGTGAGTTTATTGGCGCCAAACCGTCGACAACGGCCGGGAAGCAGAACCTCAAGGGGTTGGGGATAGAGCTCCGGAAAACGGTGGTTTTTCACCGTGTTTTGTACATTACAATCAAAGACGTGGACATACGTGGGTTCCTATGAGATGGATCCATCGGGGATGGATCAGGGAGGCGGGAGACAGCCAAGCAGGGAGACCACCGGATTGGTTGAAAAGTGAAATGATGGACACGTGATTCATTTACACAGGTGGGTGCCGGACAGTCGACAGTCAGCAATGAACACGATGACAATAGCGATGAGGGGATTTGGGGGTGTCCGCTTTGATGCGTCGGCCGTGCCCTGAGGGGTCTGGAGAAAGGGAAGTGACAGGTGACCCCAATATTTGATCCACAGGTTCTGTCATCTCAGATGCAAAAAAACACAACGGGCTCAGGGAAGCTCCAAGTTGGTGTTTGTTAGGGAAGATACTGGCCTAGGATGTGACCACCCACTACTATAGTGTAAACTGCTTTTGATTTTTTAAAAAATATATATTTTATTGATTTTTTACAGAGAGGAAGGGAGAGGGATAGAGAGTTAGAAACATCGATGAGAGAGAAGCAT